TCTTGACTTGTTTGTATATTGTGAAGAAGACGCACTGTAATAGACATTTCATTCCATCACTTTGACATTTTAGTTACCTGTGCAGTTCACCAGTTTAAGTTACCTTGTTAATCTGAATTAGGGTGGTTTTACAGAATGATACAGTCCTATACCTGCACTGAATATCAGCTATAGTCCTGTTGCAGCTTTTCAACCCTTTAAGATGACACTTTGTCTCCATTTTCTTTTCATCTTTGATTCCTCTGCTGCCACCACACTGGTTATGTTATTTTCTTCTCGGTGCATCGGTTTGTATTGGTTGCCATTGTCTCCTGCCACTGGCTTTGCAGTGCCAACAGTCTTTACTGCTCCAGGCTGTTTATTTGAATGTTTCGAGATTAAATTTGTTCCATTTTTCTCAGTCAGAATGCACCAGAAACAATTGCCCAGCTTGAGATTCCCACTGTAGCCAGTGGGGTAAAGAAGTCCCAGAGGCACAACAACATTTGACAATAAGTAAAGAGAGAGCAATGTGAAAGGCCAACAAATAGCCCTGAATAATGTTGTGTTTTGGGGTTTGTTTTTGCATATTATGTGGCGTGTTTGAGGGTTAACTTTGTGAGTTAAATATCACACATGGTGTAAGAATAGTTCTGTATCTGTGGCTGTGGCTAAATACTGAATCTCATACATACAGAATCCCAAAACACTCAGATCTCATGAGTGCAGTTAAAAGTGTAATTTTAATCACCAGTGACAGTGGCAAAAGTGTGCGAGAGATACAGGGTCACGCATTATGAAGCAAACAACTGTATCTGATTAAAAACACACCGCACTCTGTTTCTACACTTCCCTCAATAGGTTTCTTAATTAGTGTGTATTTTTACAAGTTAAGCAGTGATGACAGCAAAACATATTCTTTCAACCTCATAATTAAAAATTATAAGCTAGACCCATGCGGTAATAGATAAACTGCCATTATTCATACAAAACGTAATAAATCAAAATGTATGGTGGGTTTTTTTTTTTTAGCAGCTACAATGGTTCAGTATGTAACAGATTATGATGTAAATACGAAACACTTTCACTGGGAAACTCAAGGTCAGACGAGAAACTCTTCTGTTAAAATTCAGTTGCTGTTTTCCCCTGAGGAAAAAGTTACTTTTTATAAAGTTTCTTTCTTTAATTCAAAAAGAACCAGATGGATGTGACATATGGGGTCAGAGGAATCTCACCCTGCAGCAGGGACGTTGCCGTGGTTACAGTCTCGGGGACTCCATCCACACTATAGATGGACTGAAGAAACTCTGGGACACAATCATTCTCATCCGTTATCAACACCTGAACCTGATTAGTGCCAGCGTGATGGGATAAGAGAGGAGAGGAGAGGAGAGGAGAAAAAAGGAGAGAGGAGAGGAGAGGAGAGGAGAGAGGAGAGGAGAGGAGAGAGGAGACGAGTCATACAATCAGTATATAAGAAGACAAAATTAAGCTTTCGTTATCAACTCTCAATTCTAGAAAACAACCGTATGAAGGTTTCTGTACAGGAAGCTGACCCGAAAACTTAATCTAAATTGCATTTTATAGCTCCCCAAGTTGCCAATTCAACACATTCTTTATCTTCCACTCCATGATTTTCTTGAGTCAAAAATAGAAATGTTCTTAGCATGTGTGTGCCTCGCTGTGCGCATTTGCAACAAAGACCCTCAGTCGCCCCTCCACCCTACAAGCTCCCCGTCACCACTGTGTGTAAAGTGTGAAGTGACAGCTGAGTAATAGTCCTGAAATAGCTGGGATAGGTTTTCCCAGTTTCCATCTCTTATTCCACAACATGCAGCTGAGCAGAAGGAGGTTGTGCCCGCTAAATGTGCGGTACAAAGTAAGAGGCCGACATGATAATTGGGCAACAAAATCTTTTCAATTAATAATTGAAATCACACTGCAGTTGTAAATAATTTATCTAGAAATATTCATTTATGAAGGATATTTTCAGATTTTGATTTCTTGTGCCTAAGAGGCTGCTATATTTTGCAGCGTTCGTCTCTAGATAACAATTGACAAAAAGCGAAGAGTGAAACCGCAGAACAAAACTTCACTTGGGTCACCAGTCGACTTGTTAACATTTAAAAACCATTCAGGCG